TTTTTTTTTTTTTTTTTTTTTTTTTTTTTTGTTTCAATATTATTCAGCATAAGTTATCACTTCCAGGTGGTATTTCGGAGTTTTTATATATTTTTTCAAACTCATTTTGTTGTTACATTATGCCACTCAATAATTTGATCTTCTCTATGATTTAAAACTACATAAGAAGTCACAGACTTTTTCAGTGCACCATCAAGAACGTTCAAATGGGGTCTTAAGCCATCCCGATGTTCAGATTGGATAGAATTAAAGAAGACTCTAAGGAGAAGCAAAGTTCAGTTTAGGGGGAGAAGTTTATTCATCCAACCTTACGAAGGTCCAGTTATTCTTGGTTTTGATGGATATTTGTATGAAGCTCGTATATGTTGACAATATTGTGCAGACCTTATGACTTCAATCCTGTATCGTAATATACCGATTTTGCTGCGGTTTACAGTCCAAAAACAGTTGCCTTTGTAATTTTGACTTTCGTTTTGTAAGTGTATCTTTAATAATGGTGTCCTGGAGCGGATTTTCATACAGTAGCTTTTATTGCGTTACCTCTTTCGAAAACTTTTTTATTCGTTACTGTATTGATTACGGAAAGTCTAAGGAAGCGACAAGAAATGCGGAGTTAGTTAACTAACATCTTTGCTCCAAACAACTTCACTCACGTTGTAGTCGACGTCAAAGTTAGAAATTTTAGAAATTATTCAAGTAGACTGGACAAAATACCAGTTGTCCGTTCTCGCTTCCTCCGTCTTTTTAAGTAATTATCGATTAATGCAAAATCTTTTTTGTGTGAATTAAAAGTGTTGTGGCGCAATAGAAATATACTGATCTCAAGGTTTGTTACACGTATTAGGTATGCCCATGATCCAAAACTGTATTTAATAATTGTCATTAACATAAAAACTGTTAGGTGAAAAAGTCAGCAACAAAAGTGGATGGGATATTTCATGAATATTTTTTTCACTACCTGGCTGGGAGAGTTTTAAAGGATGTGAAGAAATTAGGCTTTGTATGGTACTTGGTAATTATAATCAGAAGATTTGCGCTTTGTGAATAACAGCTTGAAATGGAGCTTCCAGTGCAATTGGTTGCAGCTGAAGGGTCCGCCTTGTGAGTTCTTTTGGTTCTGGACACGCAAATCAGCTTGGTAGGGTGCGTCGTTGTGCAGTTGCACCTGTGTATTGAAATTAATTAAGAATGTCACGGAAATTCTGTAACATTGAGATTGGAGTTACTGTGTTTGGCATTAACAGAGGTAGTGGCTTGGATTTAAGCCAAGGTCTGAAAAATTTGTAACCGTGCAGCATGAAACAGCGGTAACGGCACAGATGAACTGCTTTTGCGTTAAGGAGAACAGGGAAGTTGCATGGTGGAGTTTCACCACCTGACTGTTTGATGCATTTCTAGTTTCTTTCTGTCCTGTTGTTTAATAGTTTTTGAAAGGAAAAAACAGGAGCATATTTGATCCAGTGAGGGCTTCAAACTTTATGATGCCGTTTAATTTTAAACATACCTATATTTAAATATCTGCATAGTTTATGTGGTAGATGTCATTTTTTAATTTCCTTTTGATTTATTTGTATGTCTGTTTGTGAGCACATTTTTTACTGGTTGAAGATGTACAAATTCATACTTTTTGTTGTTGCTTGAAACCTGAGGATAAATACTGTTATTGAAAAGTACACGTATTTTATTGCAGAAATTTTGCGTTACAGTTTTACATTTGAAAAAGTTACTTCCGCCGCAGCCAACGATCGTGAATTTTTGTAAAAAGTTAGGCATTATTAATATTGATGTTAATATTAAAATTAGCATCAATATTGGTATTGATATTACTAATAATAGTAATACTAGTATTAATATTGACACTAGTATTAGTATCAGTATTAATAACAGCAATAATAATAATAATAATAATAATAATTTTATTATTGGTACTATTTTTTTTGATAGGAATGTAATTGAAGACTTATATTGAATTCTTTAATATACTGGATGGCGCTTTCTTGTTTTTCAGCATCCTTTCTATTTAATTCATTTGTTAGTTGGATATGCCACAGAACGCAGGTGCTGGCGGTGAAAGAAGGGACGAAGACATGTCAAGTCTGGATAATGCGGCAAGAGAAGTAAATTGTTATTATTGGTCGGTAAAAATACTTTTGTAATCGCTCCTAGTTTTCTTTTTCGTGAGTTGTTGCAAAAAAAACAAAGGTTTTTGGTACGTAATTTCTCCCATGTTGGCCGCTTTTTAAATAATCATTGGTCAAAACAATGAGAAAATGGGATTTCTTTTGGGTTTTCTCGTAAAAATTACAACTTCCGTCATGGAGTTAATCACTCATCGTTTTGAGTTAGCAGTGGATAAACGCAAACATTATAGTTTCCTCTTTGAAATAAGTTTTTTTATTTTGAAGTTATCCTTTTTTCTAATAAACGCTGTGCGCTTTACAAACCTTGAAATAATGCTTGTAATATCTGCTTCTTTAGAAGGAGAAAATGGAAGCTTTCGCAAAAGGATTGGCTATGAAGGTGGCTGCGAGTTCGATGTTCTATCCTTTTGCACACGTAAAAGTCTTAATGCAACTTGGATATGAACCATTTCCCTTGACATTAGGGAAGAAGTTTGGCGTAGGGCAGGACGTGTATTTTCTTCCAAATGGCATATCCTACGGTAAGATTTAGCTATTTTATAATTTTTCTCTTGTACAGTTGACCTTATTTTTTGTGGAAGTGAGGAAACATTTTGTAATTCAGCTGGAAATCTTGTCAAAGCTTACAAGTGGACTTTTCTTTTTACTGGTCTTGATGCACATATCTGCTACACGTTGGTTTCTGGTGCAGCAGAGTTTTTTGCGAATTCAGTAAGTGCACCGTTTTTCCTTCTTTTAGCCAAATCAAATTTATGATTTCACAAGGAAATAGGTTTATAACTTTTCATCTGTGCTGATGACTTTCACTTAAAACATCCGTACTATTTTTTAGTACATGGATCGGTACCATCCGGCTTATGGGGGGCCTCCAGTGAATCTAGCGCGCTCAGAGGATGAACTGAGTGATGTCGAAAGCGCTCGACGCGCTTTACGTTCAACTATCAGGAGTACAACTGCTCGTCTCGTAGCAACAGTTGTTGCAAGACCATTTGCAGGTGCGGTAGTGAAAGAGAGTCAAAAATTTTAAGTGATTTGTAGGCGCTCGAGCGGGAGTTATTTGTTCATATTCAAAAGTAAAATGCCACATTTCCTAACTTCACCCATTTTTCGCCTCTATATTAGATCATTTATTGCATTCTTAAGTGGAATATTATTTTTTTTACAGGATGAGAACTGCATTATTACTTATAAAATTTTATTTGAGCATGAAAATTTCATTGCAGTTAGTGTTTGAGTGCCGCTCAATTTTCAAATCTGAGTTCAATCAAAGTCTGTCTCTTTGGACGTCTGTGATACATCAAACTAATTTACTTTTCATCCTTATCCTATTTTACGAGTTTTTAGTAATTATGGTACGAAAGGTTGCTCAGGTAGTTGGTGGCGAGAATAAGTACACTGATGTTTTTTCATCTGTACTTTTGGTTGGACGCGAAGAAGGGCCCAAAGGGCTTTTCTCGTAAGTTACTGACGCTAGTCATTTATTTATTTTTTCTTTCATTTGTGTTCTTTAACTAGAAATAAAAAATAACAATAATTTCCGGACAGTTTAAAACATCGGTCAGGAATTATTTTGTTTGATCAATAGGAACAATCATTGGAAGAATAAGCCTTTTATAGTTTACAGTGGTGGTTCTAAGAATAACCCAAGCCTCTAAAAAATGTCATTTCAGAAATATGCTGTTTTCTTGTTATATTTAAGCCTTTCTATAGATAATATTTTCATTTGAAACTTTGGAAAAAAAGCTAAAGTCTAGTTACCAGACCTAATCTTCTGCCTGTAATTTTTACTTTCTTGAGTACGAGGTTATCTGTCCTGAGCAACAGAATTTAATTTCGTTTTTTAACTGTGTCCCATTATATTTTAATCTTATTGTCTTTCTTTAGGGGCCTGGTTCCGCAGTTAATTAGCGAGTTCTTGACTATTTTAGGGATTAATGGTCTTATTTACGTCGCTGAAAGGCTTTTGAAACGCGCTAAGGTGCTTTAACAATCATTATTACGAAAAGTTATTGGCAGTTTATTGATGCTAAGTCGTAACGAAAATTGTTTGATGTGAGTCATGACACTTTAACTTTTAATTGCGGATTATGCCATATTTTAGGTCGATCGCACAGATGATAGTAGTGAAGAGGTACTGCGATCTACTCGCATGATGTTGCACTGGACGACACCGTTGATTGTCAACACTGTTGTTTACCCATTTAATGTTGTTTCAACAGTAATGGCCATTACAGGATCGGGGTATCGGCGTTGTTTTTTTCATTATTTGTTTTATAGTTTTCTTGCATTTTACAATTCCATGAGTAACATTTTGTTTTCAAGCATTTTTTATTTCCTGCAGACTGGCAGCATCATTGCTACCTTACTCTCCTTTGTTTGGAATGTGGCAAGACGCCTGGCATTATCTTGATACGAAACAGGCACTTAACAGAGGAGCTCGCTTTTTCCTGCGCCAGCACAAAGGGCCTATAACTGTTCATTATGATGGAAACATATACGCTTCAAATGCTCATTTTGTTTAAGGTAATATCTGTATGTTGCATCTAAGATAATTACTGTTTCCAGCATTGAGGGTAGAAAAATCAGACTGGTCCTTTTAGTACTGGAGTTTTATATTAGTTATTTCTCTGTTTTAGAACTGGTTTGAATCTCTTAAACCAGCAGATTTTAGGCGCTAGTTTATGCTTTTTATCTGATTGCAAACTCACAAATGTTCCTTTATTGGTGATGTCGTCCCAGTCTCCAAAATAATTTTTATGACATTTCTGATTTGAAAACAAGGAATTTTGGTGCTTTCTGAAGTTTTCCAGCGTGAAAGTAGCAGAAGGAAAGGGAAGAACGTTTTTTAGGTTTGAGGATGAGGACTTTGATGGGTTGCAGAAAATAGGGTGGAAGATCCTTTTTGTTGACACTGCAATTTTAGCCATGACTCATTCCGCATCTTGGTCCTTTTACGCTGATATCCTAGGTTCTAAACACGGTTTGAAACCCACAAATCCTCTTAAACTCTTTAATATTTTTGATGACTTCCGTAAACTAGTCGCGAAGAAGTCGGAGGGCATTTTCTGGCGAGTAATTAAGAAGTTTCACGCTGTACAACTGGTGATACTTTTGCAGATACAAATTCAATAACAAGACGGTCGAATTTCTCAGACTTCTTTTCTTCAGTTTAGCTTTTTTAGACCTCTAGTGTTGCGTGTTCTTCAAGGGTTTGTTAACATGCGTATTATTGTCATTTTAATAAATATAGTTCCCAAACCTTAATTGGTTTCAAAGCTCGGTGCCTGCTACTGTAAATATGAGAAGGGAACTTGATCAAGTTCCTCTGACTGAGTATTTACTTTATTTAGCTGTCCTAATGTTTGAAATAATTCTTTCTCTGCTTATACATTTTTTGAACAGGGAAGACGGAGAAGTGGTGGTTGTGCTTCTTGTGAAGGGCTTTATCGACAAACTGGCAACTACTCCAATATCGCCACCTCCGTCCTTCAAAGATTAGGTGTCTGGCGCTGACTGTTGATAGACCTCACTTGGTGGTGTTAAACGCTGGACTTGCCATTAAACTGTTGTGCAAGCCGCCTCACACAGCAACTGTAAGGAAATGGGTGTGAAGAATGGATTCAGAGATGCGGCCTCGCTCGTCTGATTTCCCTCTGCACCCCAGCAATTAATTTTTAAGCGAAACGTACTGTATATCCACGTGCAAGACTTTGAGCTTAACTGATTGTCAGTAACGGCAATGAAGTCAAGAAGTATAGCCGCACTTGTGAAATTCTACTCCCTTAAATTGCCAGAAAGCTTCTGGGTTGATGTGGACTACAGAACCTTAATTTCATCAACCGAAGACAAGCTGCAGTAGTCTCGAGCCCATTTATTTCTCTGGCTACATCCAGTAAAAAAAGAAAGGCTGGATTACTCGTGCGAAAGAAAGGAAATTTCTTGATAAGTACGGGTTTTGAGATGTCACTGCAAAGATGCCTTTAGATTTTTCTAGGAGAGCCTTTAATGCACTAATTAGTTGAGATTTAAAATGTCGTTTTGACGAACCAAGCAGCTGCCAAAAGTGAGTTCTCTTCCAAAGTTTTCTTCCGCCAATTTGGAACCATAGACTTCATTTCCGTTGGCGGATGACAGCTGCGGACGAGACTCTTGAACCATCGATCACTTAAATAAGCCGCTGTACATGGTGCAAGATGGCAGTATTGAGGTTACCGTGGTGAGACGCAAGCTGGCGCTATGCACTTTGTTGCTTCTGAAACATAAACAGTCGCTACCCTGGGGGAATGCCTGGCCGAGTTTCAGTTTTATGACGTCGACCTGTTCAGTAGGAACTAACGTACGCAGGCAGTCTCTGTCCAAAATATTTTCTGAAAGACTGGATTACTACTGTTTATAACATGGCCAGAGAACTTCTCTACTGGAATCATTTGCAAAAATCTACGTTTGTTAACAGTGTTAGTGGATTGCACAGAAGATTTTGTAGCTTAATCTTTCTCCGATGCACATCATTTGGCACTGTAGAGCAGAATGTCTTGATGCATACATACCATTAATACATTTGAACCGCTCATCACTTGCTGGAATAACTCGCTACACAGAGTTAATATCAAAAAAAATTTCAAGAGCAGAATTCGAGGTAATGAGGTGTATTATTTAAACTTAACAAACAAATTGATTTTATTCCACAGAAAAGCACTGTCAGACCATTCAAACATAGTTTGCTAATAAGTTTTTTTTAGTTTTAGCTCCTAATCTTCACCCCTTTCTTTGTTAATCTATCTTTCTAAATAAGCCCTCAAAAACAAACCAGGGGCTAATAAGATCAAGTTAAATGAATAATAAAGTTCATTCCAATAAACTCCATCAGATTAGGCCTATACCCTGGCAACTGGACAGAATATATACAATGTAATAAACGTAGAAAGATTATTTACCCCGCAGTCTGTATGAGATTCTCAATGGACGGCAGGCTTATCGAAGTCTAAAAGCCTTTGGGAAAGTTTAACACTTCTAAGCATCAAGGGTAATACTTCTGTGTCACTCAAATAGAGCTAGATGGAGGTTCCACTCACACAACATCACAGTAGAACTCGTACTCCTGGTCAATGCCCAAATAAGTATCGGAGAACAAGAAGACCGTAAGGATATGTCGTCCACTAAAAGCCCACCGTCAGAGAAGAGAGATAAAGATGCAGTTTTCTGTTTTCTACACAAGCACGTCGATATAAACACAAAAGCTAGATCGACTTACGCTTTTTTGGGGATTTCCAGTTTCAAGCGAAACACTTTAGAACCGGTTATTGGTGGAGTTTTGAGGAAAGCCAGGACCTCCCCAGTATCTTTCTCTCCAACTAAAAGGAACCATCCCGGAGCCTTTTCCTTTGAAAACCGAGGACAGTAAGCGTTAACACCATACTAAATTTAGAAGTCCACTTAGAATATATGTTTTTAGTTGAAAAAGGTCTGTTAAAAACAGATTTTGCTTCTTTGAACTTCATAAAGTATAGAAAAAAAACCTTGCTAGCTCCGACTGACTGTACAAAAATCTTAATACTGTGGACGCTTCCAGCATTCGCTCGGAACGAGTCAAGTTCACAGGAGTCTTTTTTAAGCGTGATTTCCAATTCCTTGTTGTCTACGGATAGGATAGCTTTGCTCAATATTATAATCGGCCACTGCATTAGCGCATCAACGATCTAAACGTGGGATAAGAATTTGTAAGTTCAAGAAACCATAAATAATTTTTGCCAACTAATGCTATTTTTCCTTAACTATTCAGAGAGTATCTGAAAAAAAGCTTAAGTAGTGCTCCATATTCACTGGTCTAAACTGCAGTATAAGAAAGGTGATGGGATAAACAGTAATCAGTTACTATTTTTGAAACACCATCGTATTAAAGAGAAGACAGAAGATGGTAGGCGCCCTAGATAGAGATGCTAATAATACAAAAGGAAACAGATATCTGCAAAGTAAAGATTCCTACATCTTTAGCCTGAATCTCATCGAACAAAGTTTTTCTCATGATGTAAACAATTGCATTTTCCGTTATTTTCTTCATATCCTCATGAAGCGTATCAAGAGAAAGTTGCGCCTGAAGTAATGGGATGGTACCATTTCGCCTAAAATATATGAGCCTCAGCTGTGATTAAATTATACATGAGCGGTTTAAGGAAGTTATGAGAAGGTATGACATTTTGAAACACG